ATAACTTATTTAACAAAGTTGTAAAAATTATTGGTGGAACAGAGTTTAGGAGGGACAGCAAAGATATAAAATTTAAAAAGAGCTACAAAGGACAGGAAACTGTGGAGTTACATGATCACCAGCATCCTGAAAGGACACGGCATATAGAAGAAGAAAAACTAATAAAAACAGAGATGGTATGTGTGCATGTTTTAAAATATCAGTCACTTTCCCACTACTATAAGGTTGCCTACCTTTGCCTTTTCTATAAATACTTTCATGGTAAGTGTTTGGATGAGCTTTTTGCTATGGTGCCTAGACTCTTAGAATTTAGGCCCAGTACTAGACTGGTAACAACATCTTACCAGTTTATATTTGAGCTGGCTAGATCTAAAGGTAAATTCTATGCTAAGTTTCTCTTCTTGCCCTTCTCACTTGTGGGACTCCCAGGGACAATGCCTTCTAGCCAACTTTAATCTGCAAAAATTTAAATGCAATATATCTGCTGTCCTCCTGATTACTCTTCCTCTCTTCTTACTCCATAACAATGTTTAGGTTTCTAACTCTTCCACACCCAGTAACCCCTTGTGTCTCTGTGGCTTTACTGCTTCCCTTGGGGTGAACGCAATAAAAAATATCAGGAAGCAAATACAAGTCCCATCTCGAATAGTCATACTGGTGGGAATTTTTATCTCATAAAATAAGCATAAATCTAAATTTATAATAGTTTTCCATACCAAAGTACCAAGTAAAACTGAAGGAAATAATTGCATTTGGTAAACAGGAAGAGTAGAGGATGTGCCAAAAAATTTAAATCCTTCATATCCATCTACAATTGATAATTCTCACAAATTCTTATCTGTACCTAACTCTTCCTTAACAACTTATTAACATTTCAAATTACAGTTGAATCCATTATATTCACTTACATGCTTCTCCCTCCAGCTATGGGTAAATAGCAGAACAGACTTGGTTCTATAACCTTGGATAGCAACTAGTCTACTGCAGAAAGAAATGGGAACCTACTGTGGAAAAAAAAAATCTGCCTAGTCAGTCATGTATCGAAAGATACATGATCACCTAAGCATGTATCATGCATGGCACATAACTGACTGAACATTATGTTCAGGTGTGGATTTCTTATCAAGTAACTAAACTGGGAAGTATTTTGAAAGAGGCCAGAAAATGTGACATTGAAATCTGAAGACACATTGTAATAGAAAAATAAGCCTTCCAAAAGCTAAGCAAAGTATTAAGCTATGGGAAATTTTCATAAGAAACAAAGAAAAGTGTACTCAATCGCTATGTAATATCAATCCTTATATACGATAATGAATATTGGACAATTTCTTCACAGATTAAGGTAACAGAAATATGATTCTACAGAAGGATGCTCAGAATAACATGGATTGTAATGAGAAAGTTTTAAGAAAAATGGAAACAAAATGGATGTTGATACTTAGAATCAGAAAGAGACAACTGAAATTACTAAGATACATAATAAGGAAAGAAGGGTAAGAAAATTTGCCATTAACAAGACATGATGCAGTCAAGAAAGATAGAGAGAAACAGTGTGTAACCTAACAAGCTTGTTTAAAATGAATAACAGAACAGGGAGTGAGAGAGATAATAGTAAAAGTAATTGCAAAGTGCTACATAGGATAGTAATTTTTATCTTTATTTTTTTAAATAAGGCCTGGAGCATCTTGAGGCAGAGGGGTATGTTAGGAGGCAATTTAAGGAAAATAACTGTTAACCCAAGCCTTGAACAGGTTAAGATTGTACTGATTGGGGTAACATCCTCTTTAGAGTTGGTTCCACAGAGCAGTGGTTCACAGGAAGAAGCTGTTCGAGTGGAACTGCTCACTGATGAAATATGGAGGGTATGTGGGTGATTTGTTATTATGTAAGTGGCATGGTATGTCCTTGCTGTCAAGGTTTGTATTTGCAGGATCAGTTGAATGTAGTTCATCTGAGCACTTTCCCCGGAAGTAGCAATAGAGCAGTGAGAGGCTTGCTTATCCCATCTGTTGGAGAGAGGTTGTAGAGTGGAGAATTTTTTTTCTTTTTTTTTTTTTAAGCGTTTCACCCCAAGCAAGGTGAGAAGCCACTGGGACGCAAGGGGTTACAGAAGATTTGGAGCAAGATCAGATAGGATAGTGGATAGATCAAGGCAACTGGAGATGTCAATTGACATTACATTTGAATAGTTGGAGATTATAGCTCTCAGGGAAACTGGAATAGGGAAGGGAGTTCCACAGGCGAGAGGTGCGAGACATGAAGCTATTGGAGTAGAAGAGACGGCTACATTTAGGAGTTTCGACAGTGAAATGGTGAGAGTGGGATGCCAGCCTCGTAGGGCGCTTGAACTCATGAATTCTGGGAACCAGTGAATGCAGCTCCTTGGAGCAATTGCCATGAAAGTATTTGTAAAAAAGACAGAGAGAGGCGACGACGTGTCTGTGAGAGAATGACTGTAGACGAGATGCCAGAACAGGGCCAAATTTGAAAAGTTAGGTTTGGGCAGCTCCTGCCCACATGACAACAGTACTCCACTTTTGGCTTGACCTGGCTCTTGTAAAAGTAGAGGATAGCAGGAGGAGTCAGTTTGTGGAAAATCATGATTGCTCATGCCAGGAAGAGACCCGGCATGTAGAACAAGAATTAAATAATGTATGCCAGAACTGTATTCTACATGAGTAAGGCCAAAAAAAGTCTCATCAGCAGATAGATAAACATAAAAACAACAAATATAAAGAGACTAGTGCATATAGTAAAGAGATTAAAACAATATTTCATGTCAAAAATCTGTTGTGAGAATTGGGATGAGATGACCTTAAGGAGATTTTTCACATCACAAAAACTAATCCAAAAGAGAGAAAAATAAAATAGAATAAAAAAGTTTATTTCTATCATGAATGATTTTTTTAACTTTATGCTTTACTCAGCAAAGATAAATTTGCTTTGATTAACATTTTAGATAATTGCAGTCTGTTTTTGTTTATTTGTTTCACAGCCAAATTACTGCATTTAACATAAGTAGCAAATTTGCGACGTTGATTAAATTGTCTAGGAAAGAACATTTGCTTCAATACAGATGATAATTGCAAGGAGATTCTTTTTATCATTTCTCCCCAGCAAGGTAATAAACCCACTAAGATGCAATGGGTTACTAAGTGTTAGAGAATATAAGAAAAAGAAAACATCACTGAGGAGAGAGAACAATAAAATAACAGGAGTTAAGAAGGCAGAAATTGACATTGCAATTCAATTTTTGAAGATCAAAGTTGACAGGGAAGCCAGAAGCCAGGAGAGAATTCCACAAGTGAGAAGTGTGAGAGAAAAAACTACTAGCATAGAAGTTATGGCTGCATCTAACCATTTCAACTATAAAATGATGAGACCTTGCTGCAAATCTAGTACTAATTTTAAATTCATAAAGTCTAGGTAACAAAGCTCACCAGAACAATTACCATGAAAATATTTATAGAAACACACAGGGAAACTATGTTACAGTGGTGTGAAAGTGACTGAAACTGAGATGCCAGTCAGGATCAGTAACATTGTATATTCTATTTTCTATTTCCTCAAGAATCTCTAAATATATAGCAGAAGCACCAGACCAGATTTGGCAGCAATATTCAATGAATGGACAGATGATAGACTCAATGGTTAAAGGGGAAGGGTCCTAATTAAATGAAGAGATACGAAATCACCTACCAACATTAATTACATTGTCATTTTAGTTTATTGAAACAATTTTGGTAAGAGTTGTGCTGAGAAGTACACACTAATTAGCTAATGATCAAAATGATATTAAAACTTCGTACCAGTTGATTGGGGTCAGCACACACACAGAATTTGCAAGGTGGGAACAACACAGACATATTTATTTTATAGAAGTTTGGTTAAAGACCAATTAAAAGATCTTTATTATCTATAATACCAAATGGATATTTCCAAGATTAAAAATGATTCCTTGCTAAAGATACTGGAAAAATGGTCAGTACCCTTTCAGAAAGTACCTGAATCCTCCTGTATTCTCTACAAGAGACAGATCAGGCTGAAAATAGAGTACAACTTCCATATATTAGCAGCTCAGAGTCCAAAAGCATCTCCATGTCCTTGTAGGTGACAAATTATTTTCCACCCTACTATCTCTACTTTCACAGATATGATATCACAGGCCTCTCGTGCTCTATTACTATTTCCATGGAAAGTGCTCAGGTGAGCTACACTGCTTAGTTCCACTAGTTATAACCATCATGGCTAAAACCGCCATGCCACACACATTGTAGCAAACCACCCTCATTCCCTTAGTATTTCTTTGGTGAGATGTTCCACTTGAGTAGCTTCTGCTCACAGACCTCTTCCATGTGGAACTAACTCCCAAAAGAATGCTTTCCCAATCCCTACAATCTTAACCTGTTCAAGTCTAGGGTTAGCCATTATCTTCATCACATATACGAGATTACTCTGTAACCCTCTACTTTGAGTGACCCTTGGGCCTTGTAGTGAGTGAACATCATTGTAAAAAAAAAAAAAAAAAAGAAACTGCCATATGATGGCTTATACTTCAGATACAGTTCTGTGGTTGATCACAGGCCTCAATGTTGAAAGATTTTAAGTTTATTTCAAAGTACATAAAAAGTTCATATGCATGCATCTATTCTTGCATGACATTAACAGGGATACAGCATTGTATAAAAGAACCTTAAAGTTTGGGTTTATATGAAATAATATGAAGATAGAATTCAGAGAGACAAACAGAATGTAGATCATTAATTCCAAACAACATCTCTGTTACCCAAGGCAGAGTTTCAAGATTTTACTCTCAGAGCCAAGAAGATGTTACCATATAGCTTTTTGTAACCTGATAATCTTTCGTATTAAATTTATGGACACAAAACTAGAAATAACCTTGGCGCTGCCAAAATCTAAGTATATTTTGCAATGTTACATTTAGAGAGATATTAGCTTAGTGAGAGAGAAAGATAGAAATGAAAGAGGAAAGAAAAAAATCAGTGGGGAGGAAGGAGAGAAGGAAAGTGAAACACAGGATGTAGAAAAAGGGAAGAAGAAAAGAATGCTGTTGAGAAATGGAGAGATAAAAGAATGAAAGAAAATGAGGCTGAGAGAGAAATAATGATGTTAGGAAAAGGATGAGAGATGAAAAGAGATGAAGAGTGAAAGCAGCCAAAAGGAAAGAAATAAGATGAGTCTAATGAATAGATGGAGATAAAAATGTTGAAGAAAGAGAAAAGGATCATGAAAGAGAAAAAGTGGAGGAGAGTGAAAAAAGAATCAGAAAAAATTAGGGAGAAAAAAAAGAAAACGTCGAAGAAGTGTAAATAAAAAGAGACTGAAGTAGAGACAAAAAGATCATGGGAGAGTGCAAGTGGAAGACAGAGGTAAATGAAAAAAAAGGAGAGTTGGAAACAATTAGGGAGGAAAAGAAAGAAAGTAAAGTAGGGATAAATAAAGAGAAAAGATAGAAAATGTTGAAAAGAGGAAAATATCATGGGGGAGTGGAAGAGAGAGAAAGTTGAGTAAAAAAGGAGAAGAAAGAAAGATGTAATGAGGAGAAAGAAAGAAGTTAAGATATGGTGATAAAAAAAAGAGAGAGAAACAGAATGATGAAGGGATAGAAAACAATCATGGATTTGACATAAGGTAAATAAATGTAGAAAGAAAGAGGGGGAGAGAAAAGAAATTAACGTGAAAGAGAGTAATTGGTAAATGATGAGATAATAATCATGAAATGTATGATGACAGATTTGAAATGAGATAGAGACATCCATCTTCTTTATTCCTCTTCTTTTATTGTTCTCACTCCTTAATGTTTTTCTTTTTTCTCATATTCTCTCACATTCAATAACCTCTTGCATCTTAGTGGATTTATTGTCTTGCTTGGGGTGAAATGATTAAAAAAAAATTAGAAAAAGAGAAAAATGACAAGATGAACAAGAAAGAAATATTCAGTGAAAAAGAAACAGAATTATAATTTTTTATTTGAGACTATTTTCCTTTATTTTATTTAATATTTCTAAAATTGAGTTTAGTGGCCATTATATAGAAAAGAGTACTACAAATAGCTGTATGAACTTAAATTTGGTGTTTTTAGATAATAAATTTCAATTTCTTTTTTTGTGGAGGGGGGTAATCATTTCACCTCAATCAAGGCAATAATGCCACTAAGATGCAAGAGTTTATGGGAAGTAGAAGAGAAAGAAAAGATTTTAGGGAGGAAAGAGGATAAAAGAACAGGTTTTAAAAAGACAAAAGATAGCAGTTGGTATTGCATTGAAATATTTAAAGAATACAGGAAGCAAGAAACTAGAAGAAAGTTTTAGAGGTGAGAAGTGCAAGAAAAGAAATGATTAGAATAGAACATACGGTTACATTTTGTTATTTTAACACTAAAACAATGGAACTTGTTTATCAATCTAATAGTATGATTAAACTCATGTGGTTGAGATACCAAGAAGAGCTCATCAGAACAAGTGCTATGAAAATATTTATAGAACAGACAAGTCATGGCAATGGGAAAGTGATTGAAGTCAAGATATCAGGTCGGGGCCGATAACATTACAGACCCTTCTTTGGATTTTGGCGAGAATCTTGAGATATATAGCAGGAGCACCCAACCAGATATGGCAGCAATAGTCAATGCATGGATGAAAGGTAGATTTATAAATGTGTTGTATTATTTAAACATCATTTTAATATATTAATAAACTTTGTACAAGGCTAGATGAAGGAGATTACGAAAGTAGAAATGCCAATGTTTCATATATAGAAAGCCTGTCAGCCTGGTTATATTAGCATTCAAAATTCTTGACTTTAACCAGGTTGAAAAATACTTCTTACGCTGGAGAAAACACCCAACTATCTCAGCCATGAAGCAGTTTCATAAAACTTACTTTATATATCTACCATTTGGTTTGTTTGTATCTATCGCTCTATTAAAATCTCTATTTCATTTTGATCGCATGAGGAGTGATGAAAAATTGTTGCCCCCGACCAAGTAGAGATTTTTAAAAATATGATCAGATTTTAATAAATGTGGCAGGCAGAGAAGTTTTCAGTACTTATTTGTATCTGTCTCAGTTCATTCATATTTATCTCAAGCGGTTCATACTTATCCACCACCATGCTTATGTTTTATCTGTTCATATCTATCTCTTATACAAGATGTTTAAAACACAAGCATTTAAAAAAAATTAATGCAGTAAAATGTAGACAATCAGGATTCTCCATAGACTACTTTTCTTAATTATCTACAAATTGTCATGACTTTATGAAAAAAATAACAGAGTGGTTCCTCATTGCATACTGAATTCAAAGTAATCTTTTAGTGATATTAGTTGTCAGCTGATATCTTGTAAAGGAGACATCTGCAGAAATTGTTTTGACAATTATTCTCTTGACAAAGAAGGCCAGCTGAGTGAAGCCAGACCCTGGGTTCTTGATGAATGACTTTTTTGGACAAAAGCTGGCAGGACAAAGAAGTTTGATAGGTCACTATAAGCATCCTAAAAGACAGAGAACGAATTGCCTGCCATATGATAAAGAAGGCACACACCAATTACACTATTCACCCCATCACCTTACCTCACTTTTTCTCATTTTCTTTACAGCTGATCCTTACAAGAAGGTTGCAGCTGAATAAAAATTTCTGACTTCTACAATTTCATTTCATGGGATTTTTTTGGTAACAATCCAGCCAGAGAATTATTTTCTTTGTATTATGTCACAAGTGTTCAACAAGAAGCTGCAACCTGTGAATGAATCTGGTGTCTGGTCTGAACTGCAATGCTACAGTCTTTCTCCTAGATAAAGTACTGCAGAGTTATTTAATTATTTAACCATAGCTGTATTGAGAAGAGATGGATTTATGTCTTTCTCAAGTGCTTTTGCATGAAAGTGATTGCAATAGACTAGGCTAGATTTTGAACTTGGGTCACAGATGCCACTTTCCATGCTTACAAATGTTGCACTATCCCAAATACACATTGTCAATAACAGATGCCTTAAGTGGATACTAATAAGATAAAGTTTACAATGACACTTATATTCAGATGTGGCTTTATGCATTCACACTATCTTCCTTCCACATGAAAACACAGAACCATAACTAAGAGATTTAGTTCACGACATGTATTGACATATCATATCTGACTTCTTTTAAAATGCAGTACAATTCTGAGGGTCTTGGAACATAAACTTTGTCTTTCATATATTCCTATAAAAAAAAAAAAAGCAAGTAGTGTTAAATCTGGCAAATACACTGATTTTTTATACTGCCTCTTCACCTGATCCATTTGCCTGGTATCACAATTAAATTAAAATTTCTCTTCTCCATCAACTACCTGAGGAAATTTTGTCACAAATATTCTGTAAAGCATGAATGCATACATTTTCCTGAGCATGCACACATATAGTTGTCTATATCTCTGAGATGAGTTATTATGATTACTTGCATCATTTACATTATTCAGACTGTTATCCTCATCTTCATTGCCATATTCACAACATTTCAGCCGTTGTACACTCCAGCCTTCTTCAAGTGATTGGAATTTCAAACCAAACCCTTTATTTCATTCACCAGAGTAGATTGTTCTAGTTCCATGTACCATGTCTCTTCCAGATATTTCAGTTATTTTCCTTTAAAGTAACTCTCCAAGTTTTTGGTTCACCTGGTAGTGAACTCACAGCTCTTTGGGTCTAGTCACTGGATCTAACCAACATGTTTATCCATTGGGCCAGACTAAATCCAAAAAGTTGCGAGTTCAATATCAGGCCACAGTAGTGGTGAACCAAAAAGTTGAGTTATAGGAAAATAATTGAAACATCTGGAAGAGGCATGGGACATATAACTAGAACAGTCTATCCCAGTGGATGAAATAAAGAGTTTGGTTCGAAATTCCAATCACCTGAAGAAGACCAAAGTGTACAATGGCTGAAATGTTGTGAATATGGCAATGAAGATGAGGATAACAGCCTGAATAATATAAATAATGCAAGTACATATATAGCTATACATAAATAGTTGCTTGGTGTTGATCTAAGTGTCAACTTTTATATTTATATACGATTTATCACTAACATTGTGCACTTTTACCCATAAATATAACAATCTTGAAATCATATATCAAAAGAGAGTCATCTCCTCACCTTTTGCATCACTTGTAATGGCTTTTGTATTGATTCAGCATCCATGCCCCCTAAGACAGCTCTTGAAACCAGCATTCAATTTTGCAGGTATCATACATATATGACTGTATCCTTGATTGGGTTGATTGGAACTGCATGCCCTACAACTCTCCTCTGTACCACTTTCTGCTTTTCAGTCCAGATGATGACTTGTTGCAAATAACACATGAATTATGAATTGTTGGTAGGATGATGTGGCAAGTTTTATATATATATATAAGAAATGGAAAAGGTCCGACAATTTATTTATTAAAGACATTTTTATGTTTAATCTATAAATAACAACGTTAAACATAAAAATGTCTTTAATAAATAAATTGTCGGACCTTGTCCATTTCTTAATATATGACGTCATTTGTTTACATTTGATACGCCAGAGCAGTTATGAATGTACGAGATTCATGGAAGATTGAAGTTTATAAGCAGTAAATTCGACCTTGTCTACCGAAAAGGTTCTTTGTGGCCGAGACGGTTAAGGCACGTCAGCGTAAATGACGGTTCCGTATAGGATGCAGGTTCGAATCCTGTCAAAGAACGAATATTTTCTATGAAAATTTCTCGGACATTCAGGCCGGTAAATGTTATTTAATACTGTTTATCATAAACAGAGCATTTGCTTAAATACTTGTATCTATAAATAACAACGTTAAACATAAAAATGTCTTTATATATATATAGTTAATGCAAAACTAGGTAATCCGTATGGGTAGACCCAAGGAGGATGATATCCAGAGAGCTCAATGTAAATTCAGAGCAAATAAATTTGAATAAAAACAGACCACTTTAAGGTTCCATGTAATAAGTTATTTCACCACAGCCCTTTTAAAGGGCTCTGAATCATAAGACTTTACTTCCAAAGGTAGAAATGAAAAATGAAAAGAAATTTACACATTTTTGACGGGCCATATTAAGCAACTGTAAATTAACGAAGTGAGGAAGTGTGGGGGGAGAGAAGACATGAGTGAGTTAGATGTACCATTTCAATTCTTTATCCTTAAGCTCCCTTGGTATGGGACAGACACCGCTTAACTTAACATATGTTATCTCTAGATATAGATGGGTTAGGGGTGAAGAAGAAACCCACATAAAAGGAAAAAGATACAATAAAATAAATCATGAGAGAAGGTTTCACTCAATTTCTTAGACGCTGTTATTTCACATTACTTTAAAGGGTATATTTGGGGGTTAAAGTTTGATATAAATCTCAATGTCTAAACAATCTACGGAGAATTTAATTTGATGTTTGTTGGAGTTTTGGGTATTTTCTATGAAATAGTCGATTGGAAAAAATTCATAGAAAGTACATTGAAAGAATGAATTCCTTTTACATCTAGTAATCTTTATATATATATATATATATGTGTGTGTGTGTGTGTGTGTGTGTGTGTGTGTATGCACACACAGATTTTAATATGCAAGTATGTTTTTATAATAAAATAAATATTAACCAAGTGACTCTTAAAATCTTCAGGATATAATCAAAAATATCTTTGAAACATCAAATATGTCAATTAATCATTTAATAAATGATTTGGATACAGTTAAAACTATGGATAAATTCAGTCCTATGTTATTTTGTAGTGTC